GGCTAGGGACTCGAACCCGCCACCTTAGGTGTATGTGGCTGGCGCCTTAGCCGCTTGAGCCACAGGCGCCGAGCCGAGATCTTGTTTCTAATAAGGAAGGAAGGAAAGAGGGACAGGAGTGCAGGGGAGAAGAGGGGGAAGGAAATAACTTGGAAGAGGTTTAAAAAAATTAGAGATCACAATCCCTGACCTCCATTTCCCTCCTGCCCCCCAACATAGTGGGAATCAAATTTGTTTGAGAGAGGGGGATTCTGTTTTAGAAATAACTACCTTTGTCATCTCTGGCAGGGAAAGTTTGGGGTGGTGAATGCTTATTGTTGAAATATAATCTTTTTTCCCCTGTTCAAGTTTCCCTTGCTGAGATTCAGGCTATCTTAGCAGGGCCACGTTCTGCCTGGAATCAATGCAGGTGTGTGGGCATCAGAGCGCTGGGTCCTAACCGGGGCACAGGGGCTGATGCTCATGCCATGGGGCCTCCCCTGAGTGTGGTCACCGCCAGACCCACCCAGCTCTTGTCTTTTTCTCAGTGTTGCAGGGTGAGCCCTCATGCTCGGTTAGGAGTGTCTCCCAGGAGTCTGTTCTGGGGTCTCCCTGGCCCGCAGGAGCTGCCAGTTAATAGGGCTACCGCCTTGCTCACCCCTGAGAGTGAGAAGGCCCCTGAGCTTCGGGCCTCTCTGCAGCAGCCATGGCTCAGCCAGGAGCAGCTGGACCCACAGTGGAATATAGTGGGCTCACGGGAAGTCTGGATTCAGCACTTATGTAAGGGTCACCTCACTCTGCTGTCTCTCTCCTAACAGGCTCCTTAGCTAATGAGCAACTGGGTGGAAGACTCAGGAAGCTGAGCCTTGGGCAGTATGACAATGATGCTGGCAGGCAGATGTCCTTCCCCAAATGTGGATGGGGAAAGGCCAGTGTGGACCAAGCCCCGGCGCCTTTCTCCTCTCCAGCTGATGTCAAAGAGGTACATAGCATGCCCCCATCCCAGTCCTGGGGCTCTTTCCCTCTCAATGACCTTCCCGGGGCTCTGGGGAAATGGGTGATGGCTCAGCCTGGCCTCTCAATACAGCACCTGTGTCCTTCCCCATCTCACAAACACTGCTCCTCTGAGGCAGGCAGATGGTGTGGTTGGGAGAGCCTCTGTGTTCCCATCTGTGGAATAGACGTGAGACATGTGACATGCAGGTGGACCGTGAGGGTTCCAGGTGGGATCCTACAGGCTTGGTCTTAGTGGACTCTGGAACAGCAGCCAACTGCAAACACAGGTGTCCCCACAGCATCACACAGGCCCAGACCCTCCTTCCTCCCTTTATGGGAGGTGACCCACAGGTGAGGGCCACAGATAAAAGCTTCTCTTTGCTCTTTCCAGAGATATAGTTAAGGCTAATCAAGGTGGAAGCACAGTCGGTTACTGTGCCTGCACTGATTAAGCCTTTTAAAATTGGCTATAATTTCTTCTCAAGTTGGAACCTACAGAATATCTGAGCAAAAGAAGTCATTCACAGTCTGGACTCAGATAAAACCATTGTTAATATTTGGAATGCTTCCACCCGGCCTTCTTTCTACTGTTTGTTTAATTTACTGTGTATTTTTGTGGTGTGATGCTCATTTCCATGTGTTAGTACAAACTCTGTCAACTTCATTTATTGGCTGTATAATATTAAGGTTTTTTTTTTGAGACAGAGTTTCACTCTGTCAACCTGGGTAGAGTGTCATGGCATCATCATAGCTCACAGCAACATCAGTCTCTTGGGCCCAGCAGCCTCAGTCTCCTGAGTAGCTGGAACTACAGGCACCCAGCACCATGCCCAGCTAATTTTTCTATTTTTGGTAGAGATAGAATCTCCCTCTTGCTCAGGCTGGTTTTAAACTCCTAAGCTCAAGAAAGCTACCCTCCTCAGCTTCCCAGAGTGCCAGAATTGCAAGTGTGAGCCACCACGCCCAGCCTGTAATAATATATTAAAAGGACGGGTAACAGAGCCTCCCTCTTCCTTTGCCGTGGGCCGTGAGAGCGTCCCCAGTTTTCTGCAGCTGGGGGAGGCTGGCTGGTTGTGGGTTTAGACCTCCTCATCCCACTCTCAGATGGGGCTGGGCTCTCGGGGCCACCCTGGGGGGTCACAGCTGTGTGGAAGGGACTTTCACTTGACCCTCTGTGCTTGTATTCTCCTCCCTGTGCCAACTTCAGACAATGACGGCTGCGTATCCCCCAGACCTCGATGTGGTCGATGGCAGGATTTTAAATAGCAAGGAGGCCATGTGTTCCACGCCCGCCTTTCCTGTGTCTCCAGAAACGCCGTATGGTAAGAAAGAAGCAAAACCATCTGTGTGTCTCCTGATGCCACGGAGACAGTGACAACAACACCTCCTGTGCTTCTCTTCCAGTGAAAACGCCCCCGCGTTATCCTGCATTCAGCCCACCCGAACCCCAAGTGAGCAGCCCAGCCAGTCTGCACAAGGGAGGCCTTGGTAAGAAACCCACCTGCACATCACAGGGCGAGGCAGCGCAGGGCTGCGCCACCTGGTGGCCGTGTGTGCAAAGGTGTCCTCTTATGCAGAAGTATTTCCATTTAGGTCCCATCTCACTAGCCTGGGGTGAGGATTGATCTTGCTGGGAAGGTGGAGGGATGCTACTGTAAACCCGTGGGTGGTGGCACCCTGGGGTTGAGGCAGTGCCTGGTGTCCCCAGGAGCACACCTGCTCAGCACTTGAGCTCACTCATAAGATGCTCACTCATAAGACCGGCACTGGTGCCTGCTGGCATCCTAGCATTGGTGCTTTTGAGGTCCTTGTGACATTCCTGGCCAGTGGGGAGCTGGGAGGAGGAAACTAGGGTGGCTGCCCTGCCCTTTACTGAGAAAGTGGGTCCAAGGAGAGAGCACGTTCTCTGCGCTCATCAGCTGTCTGGGCATCCCTGGCTCTGTGGCCCCTGTTGCCACCTTGCTTACATCTGGTGGCTCCTCCTGCCCATTGGTGCCTGGTCCCTTCCCTGATCTCCCCCGTGGAGCTCAGGGACACTGTTCCTTCTCTGAATTGTGTCCATCTGCACAGCTGGCCCTGGGGAGAGAGTGTTAATGGCAGGTGTCCAGGTGACTTACGCAGACCTTCTTCCAGGTGGACGCTGTCTCCTTGCTTGAGACAAGGACAGGCCAAGCTTGGGCAGCTTGAGAAAGAGTGTAACCCAAAACCCACACACATTTTAAATGTGCTGCTGCTTTTCTGCCCCAGTGAGGGACCCTGTTAATGCTTATTAGGCACATTTCTTGAACAGGGAGTGTTCCACGAAATTATATTTAAGTCCTAACCCTTACACGGCAGTGGTGCAGATGGTGACGGCGAGCTTCACTTTTCCTCTTTGTCTAGTGTAAACCAAGTTTGTGGGGCATGGAATGGAAGGGCCATCTTCCTTCTAAAGTTTCCTTTATGGTTTCAGTCCTGAAACTTCGTACGTAGAGTATAGCAATTAAACTGCCCATGTTTCTCAGCAAGAGGGACTAAAATTTAAAACGAGAAAACATGTACTCAGTGTTGCTGCATTCCTGTTTATACGTCGTGTGTTACGTGAGACCTGGTGCACGTGCCAGCGAATGCTCGTGGGACAGACTCATACACACAGAGCCCTGCATGTGTGTTCTTCTGTATGTTTATCATTTCGATGAAGCAGATAGAGGGACAGTCCTTGCGCCCCGTGCAGCTGCCTTCTGCTAATGGAGTCACGGATTTGGACTAGAACTGACTGCGTTCCTGGGGTGGAAAACTCAACTTCATTAAGGTGTCAGTTCTCTAATTGATGGACATTTTGACCACATTTTCCTAGCAAAATCTCAGCAAGATTTTTTTGTGAGTATAGATAAGCTAATTATAAAACTGATATGGGGGGCAGCGCCTGTGACTCAAAGGAGTAGGACGCTGGACTCATATGCTGGAGGTGGTGGGTTCAAACCCAGCCCCAGCCAAAAACTGCAAAAAAAAAAAAAAATTATATAGAAAGGCAAAGGATTAGAACCACCAAAACAATTTTAAAAAAAGAATAAAGTTGGAGGAATAAGTTTACCTAATTGCAAAACTTGTTAAGTAGCTACAGCCATTGAGACTGTCTGTGTGATGGTGGTGGAGGGGCAGACACAGATCGGTAGGACAGAGCAAGGAACCCAGAAACAGACTTACGCAAACCTGCCAACTGGTATTTTTGACAAAGGCACAAAATCAACTCACTAGACCCAAAGCGGCCTTTTGACAAATGGAGCTGGAGCGATTGGGCAGAAAAATCAACAGCGACCACAGTCTACACCTGATACAAAAAATTAACTGAAAATGGAGACGGACTCAAACGTAAAACATAGAACTAAAAAAGAGAGAGAGAGAAAATCTTTGGGATCCAGAGTAAGGCAAAGAGTTCTTAGACTGGCACTGAAAGCATGAGGCATAAGAGGAAAAAATAGTAAATTAGACTTTAAAAAAGTTAAACTTTTTAAAAAGTAGACTTTTTTAAAGTTAAAATTTTTTGCTAGGGAAAGAATCTGTGACATATGAAAAACGACAAATTATGTGGGAGAAAACATTTGTACATTGCTTGTCTAAAAAAAAAGTGGTATCATCTAGAATAAAGAACTCAATACTTAATAGTAAAGAAACCAATAGTCCACTTAGAAAATTAGCCAAAGACAGGAAGAGACTTGTTGCTGAAGAGGCCACAGAGACAGGCAAATGCGTGAAGGGTGCTCGGCCTCGTTTGCTGTTAGAGAAACATGAGTTAAAGCCACAGTGTCACTATGTGCCTATCAGAATGGCTAAAATAAAAAATTATGACAACACCAAATGCTGGTGAGGATGTGGAAAAACCGGCCCCCTCACACTTTGCTGGTGGGGCTGTTAAAATGGTACAGCCACTCTAAAAAACACTGTGGCACTTTCTTAGGAAAAAAAATCCCAGTAAACAAAAAAACTAAAGCTGCATTGACTAGGCTTGCATTCCTGGGCATTTATCCCAGAGAAATAGACAATTGTTCACACAAAACCTATAGATAACATTTACAGCAGCTTTATTTTTAATAGCTCAAAATCTGGAAACAACCTAAATGTCCTTCACCAGGTGATTGGTTTAACAATTTGTAGAACATCAATACTGTGGAACACCACTCAGCAATAAAAAGGAGTGGACTGCTGATGTGACAACCTGGATGGGTCTCTAGAAAATTAATCTGAGTGGGAAACGTCAATCCCCAAAGCTCATGTAGTGTATGATTCCATATATAGCATGTTTTTTTACGTGACAAAATTATAGATTTAGCAAAAAGATTAGTGTTTGCCAAGGTTTAGGGGGGCAGAGATGGGAGGGGAATGGGGCAGCCAAAAGAGAAGCAAGAGAGATCTTCAGGGGCCGGAATGTTCCGTGTCCAGTGTGTCAGCAGCAATGCTCGGGTGTCGTTACAAGATGCTGCTATTGGAGGACACTGGATAAAGAGTTCAGGGTGTCTCTGGGTAACTTCTTAGAACTACACATCAATCCACAACCATCTCAAAATTTAGAATTTTAGGGGATTCTGGGAAGATGGCTGACTGGTAGCAACCCTGGTCAGAGGCTCCTGAACAAAGGAAGAAAAACTGGTTGGAATCAGAATCTATGAAGTCAAAGACGGGGAGCTGAGCCCAGAAAGAAGTTCGGCAAG